GAGTGCTGTGGCCTGTGTGTGACTGTCACTGTGCTGGGCGTTAGCTCTGGAAGGATCATGTAGCTTCCAGTCTCTCAGTTCAGCATGTGAATGTGGGCAGAGACTGGGAGGAAAGGACTGGGGTGTGAAAAGTTGAAACATTTCCCTTTTTCATGAGCTGGTTATCCAGCTTTCCATTTTGTTTTGGTACCAGGAATAGAACCCAGGGTCTCATTTGTGCTAGGTTAGTCCTACTCTTGAGCTGTTCTCAACCCTACCTTGTAGACAGCCCCAGCAGTTAAACACAAACTTCCCTGTTTTTCCTGTTAAAGTCTCATAGGATGACATCTTGTGACAGTGGCTTTCTCCCTAGGCCACATCATAGTGACTAGCTCAGGGAACTTGTATGGCCAGACACACATTGACTCCCAAAGCCTCTCCCGCAAGAGACTAGGAACTCCTAGTCCTCCAGGAGGACTTTTTTCCTGCTCCAGCTTTTAGCTTGGTTTTCCACTTCTAATAAGGAGAAGAAGGGTAGGAGTAGGGCATAAAAAAGATTCTGCCGCAGTCTCTTCGAGGCTTTTGGAGTTCAGAATGTATCAGGATTACAGGAAGGTTCTTGAGAATCTCTACCTGCATATAGTGCATCCTCCTCTGAGTACCTGGCTGGGAAGCCTGTGTAAGCCTGGGGAGGTTTTGTTCCATCCTAAAGTTTTTCTCTTTGGAAGCCAAGCTGCTAGTTGTGGTCTAAAAGGCCTACCTCCCTTCCTACTTTGCTGGTTCATTTTACTTGGATGTCAGTCTCTGTTCTTTTGTCAAGGGTGCATTTGGTTAATATTTCTAGAATGCTGTTGTGTATGCCTGGAAACAAGTGCTGGTATGTTGGCAGCATGCTGACTCCAGGCTTGGGATACAGCCAATGAGGTTGAGCTTAGTACATGTGGAATGACTTATTCCTATATGGCCCAACTCTTCTTTCATCCAGTGTTGTGAGGTAGCATAATTGTGCCCCAGACTACAAACTCATCCTTAGTTTGCCAACTTAGCAGAAGAATTTTGGTGTTTAGTAGGTTTTCCCCGCCTTGGGAATTTATAGAGCAATAGAAAATGTACGTAATAGTTGCTGGTCTGGCTGGCCCCAGTCTTCTTTTATTAGTGACTAAGTTCTAATTGTGATTATTTGACTCTATAACTTTTTTCTTTTGTTGGGAGAGGGATAAGGGGCTGCATAAGATATTGTGGAGGTAGTCAAAGCCTAGGTACTGTAGCTAAGGGTCTGGGGCCAGTTTCTTTCTATAGTGTACCTGACTTTTGGTTATCATATAAGCAACCCAGAAAATAGTCTAAAGATTGATCCTTTTTTTTTAATTGAACCCAGGATTTCACATGTGCTATGCAAGCACTACACCAACTTCATTCCCGACCTGTGAGAGGCTAGGTCTTGGTAGCATTTGTATTTCCAAAGTCACAAGAACTATGATTGCTTCATTAAGATTATAAGGCTAACCATAGCTTTAAAATAAATGTTTTTAGTGAACTATTAGGCATTTTCCATATTATTGTTATGTCAAGGGTTTGTTTTGACTTTAGAGAGACTAAGATGCAGGTAAAGAGCTCTGCCAGCCGACACCTTCAATGAGCCAGGAAGGGGGGGCAGCCAGAGTGAACCTCTTGATTGGGACTATGGTAGATGAGCATGTGACTGCCTGGCTTCCTGAGTTTGTCTCCTGTTGCTAGAGGGGACAGGCCTCTGCTGTAAGAGTATTGGTATTGCATGCTATTAGTCTAGGTTTATAGAATGTCAAGGATAGGAACTTACAGGTCTGACAAATTTGACTATAAGTTGGAGGTACCCACCTTTTGGAAAAGCTTACCCCAGCCACTCTCCTCTGGGAGAAAAAGCATGGGAGGCAATAGTTTTGTCAAGTAGGAAGAGTAGAAAGGATGATGGTGTGTGAAACAGAGACCCTGAGTGACCTGTTCATCCACAGTTGCCATGAGACTCGTTGCCCCCTAGGATGACTCAGTGCAGTGGATGTGAGCGCCTCTGAAGTCCATTCTGTTACCTGGAGGATGTCACCAGACTTAGACTTTCTAGACTTCACAATCTAGAAGGAGGTGGGACTCTTTTTCCTATGTTTAATCTCCCACAAGAAGCTGCTGGTGGTGATGGAAACAGAAGGAATCTGCGCAGCAAACATTAGACTGTATACTACCCTGCCGTCATCATCCAACACACTGCTGGACCCCAGAAATTTCCATTTCCTGGGAGTTGGGACTAGAACATAAGACAACTACTCTCTTCAAGATGTCAAGCTTAGGAGCCACACTTTTCCTGTTCTTGGGGAACAGGAGAAAATTGAAAGGACCAAAGGACAGATATGCTTTTTCTTTTTTTTTTTAATGTAAAAACCTTCCTACATTTTTGTTGCTAAAAATATAATTTAAATGGATGATTTGATGAGCTTTCCTCCCAAATTTACCTTATACCTTTTCTTTAAAATGAATAAACAATAAAATTCCAGGTTACTTAATACTATAAAGATTTTTTTTTTTTTTTTTTTTTTTTTTTTTTTTTTGGTTCTTAAGATCAAACTCAGGACCTTACAGCTAGGCAGCATCCTGTTACTGAGGCTCTCTGTACCCCTGCATAAGGTTACAAAAAGCATTTTGAGTTATAATCTTGCTCTGTGGTCCAGACTAGACTTGAACCTCTGGTCCTCCTGCCTGAGCCTTTCCAGTGCTCAGATTATAGGCGTGGACCACCTGACTGTCCGAAATATCTAAATATTGTACTGTTACTAAGTTGTTTTTCAGTGCAGGAGTTAAATGGAAGATTTCGTGCATGGCTGGGGAAGTGTTCCAACACCAAACTACATCCCTTGACTATAAAATGTCTTTCCTGTAAAGTGGTACCATGTTTCACTCTATCAACATATAAAGAGAATTTTGTCCTGCCAGTTGTGAACCTTCAAAAATATTTAACAACAGGTTGTGAGTGGTACTCATCTTTAATCCCAGATTTGGGAAGAGGCAGAGGCAGGTAAATCTCTAGTTTGAGGCAAGTTCAGACTAGCCAGGTCTACATGAGACTGTCTATAAAGTTACTAAACTAGTGCTTAAAAAGTGGAAACAAGACCCCTAAAACAGCTTTGAGCTGGGGTAGTTCACTAGTGATGCATATCATACAAATCATGAACTCACTGAGTTGTGTCCAAATCACTGAGTTTAGGAACTTTTAGTACTGAGCAACCACCATATTCACTTCTCCCAGTAAGCTTTTATACACTGGTCCCCAGGCCCTGGTGTGGCCAATGCACCCCTTCTGGACATTTCATGTCAATGGACACAAGCACTATATGGTCTCTTAATTTGGCCCCTTTTTTTTAAACATGTTTTTTTCAGTGTTGAGCAGTTTCCTGTTGAGTACACTGCACTTTGTCAGAGAGCGCCTTAAGGTTGGGTTTTAGCCTCCTCAGCTCCATTGGCTCTCCACCTCCACTTTGGCAAGTCCTCTGTCAGAGGCCCTGAGAGCTGTGTGTCATAGGAGCCTTGGCCACTGAAGATTCCTATGATCCTCAACCTTCCGCGAAACATTGTGCTGTCTACTGCAGCTTAGAACCTTTGAAACATCTGAGCCCATTTAATAACGGGCACAAGTGGACAGGGAATGAAACTACATAGTGTCTCACTCAGAATCAATGCTGAAGACTGCAGCTTTCTAGTCATGTCTAGTACTAACTCTGCTGGACTCCTGAGGTGATGGTGATGTACACAGGAGGGAGGGCCAGAGTGATGGAGGAGCCAGGGGAGCAAAGCAGCCTGATGATGCCCAGGCTGCCTAGCACCTCCAGTAAACCTAGGCCCAGACTCTGGACCCTTGTTCCTGTTGCAAATGTTTAAAAGCTTGTTGCTCACAGGGCTTTTAAAACTAAAAACAATCTGCAGAGGTGGCTTAGCAGTTAAGAGAGAGCATGACTTCTCCTGATTCAGTTTCCAGTGCCTACATTGAAGCTTACAACCATCTGAAACTCCAGTCAGAGACAGGATCGTTTTTTTTTTTTTCTGCTTCCTGCAGGCACACACACAGTGTACGTAAATGTAGGTAGAACACCCAAACATAAAATTAACAACAAAACCCTAAAAAGTTTTCCTAAAACTTTTTTTTTCTCCCAAAAATGGGGAGAAATTACTTAAAATTTTTGCTTTATAAATCAAATGACATCTGTAGAAAAACTCAACAGATGAGAATAAATGCACTTGCTGAGGTAGCACCTTCCTGGCTAAACCTGGTTCCCTCCTTTCATGTGTATTGACAGTTGTACTGTGCGGGAGTTAGAGAGAGGGAAAATAGAACCCAGAGGTTAAAACACTAGCACTGTTGTACATCCAGATCTGGTTAATCTTAGGTGCCAACAGGTCCTGGGAATGATGACAGTGTCTCTGAGCAAGAGTATTTTCCTGGAATTAGCTTCAGGAGAAAGACCTTCCTCACAGGGCTGGCAACAGCAGCCTACCTATAAATGTCTGAGAGAGAAGTGCCCCACTGTAACCATAGCCAGGTGAGCAGCAGTGAGGACCAGGCAGGCCACTGAGTTAAGCAGTATCTTCTTGGTCTATAGGAGCCTATAGGGATTTATTCAGACTAAAAAACAATAAAATGCCCTGTGTGCCTACAGCTACCAAATCCAAGGTTAAATAAAAATTGAGACTAGAATTGTACTGTTCCTCTAAATCCTGAGAACCTTGGAAGAGGGTGTGATAGATCTTGGGTCATTCCCCAGGAAATGGGCATGGATACAGTTTAGTTCCATCATAAGGCATTGTAATTCCGCCCAGAGGAAACTTGGGTCCCAGCTCCTGGCAGTCAAAAGCATGTGGTGTGGAAATGGGAGGTGCAGGGCCATTATATGCTTAAAAGCCTGGTGGGTGCATGAAAACCACAGCAAGTACCCGAATCTGCTGGAAGTGCTGAGTACATACAGCAATGTGCTGAACCTGATACAGGGCATTCTACTGGGGAGGGGGTAAAGTGCATTTATTTGCTTCCATGTGTTTTTAACAAAGAAAATATCTCCCTTCTAACATTCAGTGTCCGCTGGATGGGGGAGGGGGTACAGCCCCTAGAAGGTATGGGAATAGAAGGCAAAGGCATTGATACTGTAGTCCATGGGAAGGTGGTATCCAATGTGCCTGGCTCCCAGGCTGGCACCCCCCAGTGCAGAAGAGTATCGTAGCTTCATCAGGGTGAAGCTGGAGAAGGAGTTCTGAGCCTGCAGCTCTCGGCCCTGGGTCAGTGCCAGGAGAAAGCCTGGAAGAAAACACAGAAGAGATCAAAAGCTGGATCTTCAGTGGAGATGCTAGAGATCACATTCCAAGCATCCAGCACAGAGGCACCATGATACTATGGGTCCTGGAACTAGCAGCCCAAGGAACCCATACTCCTCAACTACAGAGTATGCACCAATATTCACAACTTCTTGGTGCCAGAATCTAGTAGGGATCCTTGAGCTGTTTCAGAATCTGATGAAACCCTGAAACTGGCTGAACTGAGGCTGCCATGCTAAAGTCCTTGTGGCCAGAATGGTAACTAAGGGTACTACTACATGTTATCATACACTGGTCTAAGCCCTAAGGGGATGGAGAGATGGCTCAGTGGTTAAGGGTATTTGCTGCTTTTCAGAGGACCTAGCACCCACATGGTGGCTCACAATACCTGTAACTCCAGTTCTTCTACCCTCCTTGGGCACTTCATACCCATGGTGCACAGGCATACATACTAGCAAAAATACCCACAAAACATAAAAGTAAATCTTTAAAAGTGATTAAATATATCATTGGGAATAAAACCTTTTTGCCACCTCAAGAGCTTGAGCTATACAGTAGAGAACAGGTTTAGCAAGCACACACCCCAGGAGGAAGTCACGGGGGCTAGATGAGAATAAAGGGCCCAACTTCACCCTCCTTTCCAGCTGTACCCTTTGTCTTCATCCACACCTGCCCACCCAGACTCACCTTCCTTCAGCAGCTCCCAGCTCTTCCACACTGAGCCCACACACACAATGGGGAGGCCAAGCTCCCCTTGGAACAAGACCTGAGAAGGCAGAAAATGGAACATTGCAGGCAGACCCTAACCTTAAACCTTGCCCAGGCCTCAGGGATATTTCCTCAGACCAGCTTCTGTCCAAGACACTCTCCCTCTGGTAGGGAAACTGAACGTGGACTCAAGCAAAAAAGGGGGACGGGGGAGGGAAACAGAAGTCATGAAAGTGAGACAGAGAAGAGGAATGGTCAAATAGAGGACAGCACCACATGAAGCCAGTCTACATATTCAGAGGCATCAAAGCAAAAAGAGTTTGATGAAAACAAAACAAAAAAAAGAGAGTACAGAAAATTATAGATTAAAAGGAGTAAAGAAAAATAAACCATGTAAAGATGGATTGTAAAAAAAAAAAAGGCTATTGTGACAGGTTGGTTTCTTTGTTTCTTTCTAGGTATGTTTCTTATTGGCATATATAAAAGCTATTGTAATTGGAAAAAAATTTAAATGGAATGCTTTTTCAAAGTACTTTATCTCAAAGTGATTAATTAATATTTTAATTATATTATGTATAATAAAATATATTAAAATAAGTATTCGTTTGAGGAAAAATTAAATAAAATTAATTTGTTGCTAAGTATTATGTAACAGATTACTATTCAGGAATATAAAATGAAGCATGGATAATTATGATTCCACTCAAATGAGTTGATGCTGTCTTTGAATTGTATATGGAATGTAAGCATTAAAATAATGTTAGCTAATTTGTCTATGTGCTCTAAAAAACAATTGCATATTTCTTAAGAAAAAATTAGCTATTGATTGCAAACTTATAATTCACAAGAAATATTACATATGAAATAAACTTGACAAAGTTGAGTTAAAAAAGAAAAAGAGTTTGATGGAGCAGTCTTACCACCCCCAGGCCAAGGGGCAGACTCTGTCTAGCTGCCACCCACCTTTGTGTCTTGCCTCAACTCACCGGGTCAATCTCTGGCAAAACTGCCACGATGTGTCTGCCCAGCATCTCCCCAGCCTTCCTGAAGATGTACCGGGAAAGGGGATCCCCCTGCTGTGCACCTGAGGCAGGGAGAAAGAGGCTGTACGATACAGGAAGCAGCCTACTCTACTCTATCCACTCCTTTAGGTAAGGCAGCAAGCTCAGGCCAAGACAATGTTAGGATGGATGCCTACATTGGTAAAGCAAGCTTCTTCCCATCATTCCAGATACCTCCCAATGCCCTACTGGAAGTAGCTTACTAAGCTTTGAAAAGAGCCTCCTCCACCCCACCAGTGCAGAAGGACTAGACTCCAATGAACTATTAAACTACATTACTGTGTCTGTTCCTGTGAGTCTATAAGCCCTGTGGACAAGGGACCCTATCTGTTGGTAACTAGCACTTTCAGCAGTGTGCTGATGGTTAGCCCCATCCTGGCTGATGTTTTGAGCCTTAGTCCTGAGATAAACACAAGTAGGGTATCCTGGGACTAAGGAAGCACCTTAGAGAAGCAGACCTCATAATGAAAAAGGTAATGTGTGACATGCAGAGTCCTCCCAAAGCCAACAAAAGCTGCCTGAACTTTCCAATCCCTGCCAACAGACACTACTGCAAGTTCTCAAACCAAGGTCTTCAGATTGCACCAGTCACATGGCCAGCAGGGAGAGAAACACAGGCAATCCAGTGCTGTCTGGTCCCACCTTCACCATATTCACCACACCAAGTTGAACTACAGACTCCAAGTTACTTGTTGAGACAGCCACCAGCAGATAGACCAGCCTTAACCATGCATGACCCACCATTAGACATGCTTTTGGATAACCAAGCTACAAACAAGCTGGAACTTGCAGTACCTTCTGCAATTTTCTGGCAAAACCCAGCAAACCTGGATTTATCAAAATCCCTATACAAATGGGTGAGGATTCCTAGCCGATCTGGTACCTGAGGAATACAAGAGGAGACACAATCATAAGACGCAAAACCCCTAGTCTGTCACCCAGAGTGGCCTTCCCAATGTCTCTATTGGAATGACCAAAATATTTGGGAACTTTTTTTTAAGCTTTAAAAATTAGAGGAATTTGAGATTTATCATTTGAATAATTTTGTTTTTCTCAAGATCAAATTCACTGAAAAACTCTTGAAAGGCCTGTTTTAGTTAAAGAGCAGTCCTACATATAGTAGCAGACCAAAGATTCTGAGAAGTACTGCAATCAAGGAATTCATTGCCCAAACTGTCTTCCACTACCAACAACCTAACAGGTCACTCTTTTGAGTCCCCAAGTATGCAGAGATTCTCCAGTGGGAGTGGGGTAAATGAGCATCCACAGAAACATTACTAAGTGTTTTATACACTTGTCTCATTTGGCTTTGCTTAAATGTTTGCAAAAATGCTAAAATTCCTAAGAGGAAGTGATGTGGGATGTCCTGAATATGTGTTGCTTTTATTGGTTGATAAATAAAGCTATTTTGGCCAATGGCTTAGTAAAGTCAGGTGGAAAATCTGAACAGAGTAGGCGGAGTCAAGGAGACATCAATGTAGTCGCAGAAGAAAGATGCCAGAACATGACCGGTAAGCCACAGCCTTATGGTGATATATAGATTAATAGAAATTGGTTAATTTAAGATGTAAGAGCTAGATAGTAATATGCCTAAGCCATTGGCCAAACAGTGTTATAGTTAATATAGTTTCTGTGAGATTATTCGGGTCTGAGCAGCCGAGAAACAAAAGTGCAGTCTCTGTTTGCAAGGAACTGCAGCTACACTGGTCTGAACACATGTCACACTACTCTGAATCCTGTCCTTATCCACCACTTTCCCACCTTGCTGTCCTGGTCCACCTGGAAACCCCATGTCCTTCTGCAGCTTCTCCCGTGGGTTCCCCAGTGTCCTACACTAGGTGCACATGAGTGTGGGGTAGGCAATACCTGGAAATACTTGAACATGGCCTGCTTGACATAGCCAATATCATGAGGAGCTGCCTCCAGGTTGTCAATGGAGTCAAACACGATTTTCACAGCTTGGTGTGCAATCCAGTAGGCTGCCGGGAGCAGAGGGCAAAGAAGACAGAAGACGGTCACTGGCCATCTCCTCACCAAGAAGGACTCTCAAGCCCAAGACCATCTAGAAGTCAGTGATCAGTCAGTGGTTCCCAGTAGGGAGGGAGACTTAATCAAACTACCTGACAGACCCAGGCCAGGGAAAGCTGGTGGAAAGACTGAGTAGGTACACTTCTGACACTGGCACCCATTCAAAGACAACAGTGGTAAGCTGTCGCACACAGCTGCAGTCACAGCACCAGCTGGACCCAAAAGCCGCCCAAGAAATATATACACTCTGCCCCAAAAGTAGTGCCAATGGGAAGTATGTCCTATCCAGATCCCTTTCGCACTGACAGAGAGTCTCTGGACAGCTATGTTCAGTTTGAATCTTTCCCTTAGTCTCCAAAAGTCAACAGAAGTAGGCTGCACCACCATGCCATAAACTGAACCTTGGGTATGAGAGACTACTAAGGAGAAAGATGGTAATTCTGGAATTTTCTCAACACTACCCTGTACTCAGAAACAGGTTTAGGAGCTATTTAGGGATACCTGTTTAGGTTTGGAGACCAAGAGGGCAGGAATAGGGAGAGGAGTCATAGGAAGGGGTATGTCTAGGCCCTATGTGTGCTCACCTGAGCCCTCGTCTCCCATCATATGACCCCAGCCACCGCAGCCACTCTCAGAGCCATCGGGATTGATAAGCCTACAGTTGGAGCCTGTTCCCGCGATGAGCACGATTCCACCTGGGGAGAAGGCATGGGTGCTCAGTGTGGCCAAGGGCCCGCACAGAGCAGCAGCTTCCCACTGCAAAAGATAGGACAGAAACAAACCCTACAGTGAAGGATCACCACCCAACCTCCCAGAGCAAGCAGTCCACTTGCTTCCTGTCCAGGGGATGGAGGAAGAATACAAGTCTACATCGCTTCAAGGAAATATGGCTCCCTGCCAGCCAGACTTCAAATATCTTGGCTTTATTGAGTACCTAATGCCAGAGACAACAGCAGACCTGTTCTTACAGTGACGATCATCACCCTAAATCATACAGGCAACCACTCCCACTTCTACAAAAGTGAAACCCTTCTACAACTTCTCAAAGATGGGAGAGCTATCAAATCAGAGCCTAGGCCTGCTTCATTTTTGATATGGTCTCAAAGGTGGCCCTGGCTGATCTAGGATTTTTTTTATGTTGAACAGGCTGGCCTTGAACTTGCAGTGATCTGCCTGCCTCTGTCTCCTGAGAGCTGGTGTAAAGCGTGGTCACTGACATGCCTTGTGAGACTCAGTTATATACCAGCACACTACCATACCCAGAATCCCACACTTTTTCCTCAGTACCACCAGCTCCTGCCCCACCACCCCACCCAGAGATTCCACTTCCCACCCAGACACTTAACCTGCCCTCCTTCCTCCTCTGTCCCCGGTTCCTGGTCTAGCAAGGGTATAATATGCCCAGGAAAGGAGAGTAGGGAGACAGTAACAGAGGCTGTCTTGCAGATATCTGTAAGAGAAGTTTTGCCAGTTAAAAGTAAAGGGCTTCCCCTATAAGAAAGCTCATTCTCAGCCCCCACATCTCCCTAGCATTCTCACCATCCCGTGTAGCTGTGGCGATGGAACCCGCTGCATCAGTGGTGATTACGTAACTTTCACTCAGGTAGGGAAACCGGTCCCTCAACTCCTCTATCAGGAGCCTCACTGCATCCTCCTGCTCCCCACCACTCAGGGACAGGCCCTAGGCCACAAGAGAGAGGAACACGCTGAGCAGATCTTTTCTTAACCCCTCTCCTTCTGACACCCAGCTAGCCATACCCTGCTCATCCAATCTAGCCCCTCCACCCACAGCAAGCCTTTAGAAGGCCATGCCTGCAGGAACAGCCTGGCCTAGGAAAGGGAGGAGGAAAGGAAGACACAGGCAAAGGAGCAAGGTAAGGGGATATGGAGAAAGCAGCTTGGCTTGACATACATGGGGTCTGGCTGTGCCTGCACATCTCCCTTGCATATCTGGGAAGTAGCCAGAGTCACAGCAACCTGGGAGGAAGAAGAGCTAACATTTAAAGAGCCCTCTAGACTACAGGGAGCTGACCATTTTGGAATAAATCACACTATCTCACTTTCCCAAAAAGGCCTAGTAAATGTATTTGCAAAATGAGGAAACGAGGCTGAGAGAAAGTAACTGACTTAAGGGACACTATACTGAGTGGCAGAGCTGAGATTCAAATCAAGGTACCAATGGCTATCTGGAGCCCCATGCTCTTAAAAAAAGCATTCTCAGCTTACAGATGATCACTGAAGCCACAAGAACAGGCAGGATTGAGGGCCCTGGCCCTGGAGACCTATCCCTCTCATCAGGCTGTGTAATCCCAGTGGCCACATGCGTCAGCACTGCTAATAGCCCCTGCTCCAGCCAACTCACCAGGCTTCGAAGGGGTACCAGAGGATCCACTCCAGCCTTCTGTTTGGCCAAGTTCACCATCTCGTTGATCCTCTCCACACACTTGTCTGTGCCAATCAGCTGGCCCCAACAGGGAAGGAGGAGTTAAAAAGGCTTGCAGGACCTGTACTGCCCCTACCAGCTGCTATGAGGCCCAGCCACCACCTCAACAGGAGTTACAGCAAATTAAATAAGAGCCAAGCCCTCTGGTCCCCTCAAGACGGCGTTTTACCCAGTGGTTTGTGCTCAGTCCATCTGCTTCTGACAGGATCTGCCCATTCTCAGAAAGTAAAAGGACTTTGGACCGTGTGCCTCCCCTATAAAACACAAGAGGGGGGACTCAGTCCTGCTAAAACTGCAGACAGGGAGAGTCAAGCTTGCACAGTAGCCCCTTATTAGAGTCTAGAGTAGAGACATCCTCAGCAAACCCAACCTCTATCCCCAAACTTACTTGTTCAGTGTCTACTGCACGCTGGAAAGGGAAATGTGGCCCTTCTCACGTTTCTCTGGCAGGTCTTACTTCCCCTGCAAGATCCCACTTACTCATCACTCTGACCTTACAACTTGTCCAATGTGGGCTTCTCCAAGACACACTGATAAGGCCTAGCTAGCAAGGACTGCTCTGAATTAAGAGTGTATTAAGTTGTTTCACGTCTGCCTCTCATAGTGAGCACCACTAGGTGAAGCTCCAGAGTGATTCCCTATCTTCCTAACCAGCCCAGAGCCTGGCCAAGGCAACATATGGTAAATGCATCAGAGGAGAAAAGCAGGCCTCTGCTCCTCTCACCACGGCCACTTTTGAAACCCATCTCCTGCCACCAGGGTCTTCAAGACACTTAGAAGAAACGGTCACCAGGCAGGGAGAAATTCATACAGATTTCAGCAACTAAACCCTTGGAGTTAAATTCTTGGGGTAAGTGGTATAGAGGAAGAGTGACATTCGGAAGGGCGATGTCCTACTGATCAACACTTCTAATAGAAAGACAGTCAAGACTCGATGATTCAACTAAACAGGACATCAAGTTCTGAAGGGATATTAATGCACAAGACAGCAGACTAAGAATCCAAAATCACCCCTTGACAAATTAGGGAAAATTAAGCTCTATCTTCCAGATGACTATATGCAAACTCCTACAATGTGCTGAGGGTTTTTCCTTGTTTGTTTTTAATGTGTCACAAAAAAAAAAAAATGCCAGAGGATATCTACCTTAGTAATTCACAGAGAGAGACTTCAGGGTAAGTCAGCAGTGAGCTGCTAGGACACCAGACCCTCCTCCTGGCACGTCCTGGTTTGACACACCCAGATCCACAAAATGCTTGTCACGCGCAGGGGACAAACCACCATCTTGCTCACCCATGTCTTTGCTTTACACATGTGGCAACTGAGGCCCAAAGCGGGCACACTTCTCACCCAAGCCATGCCCGGCAGAGCTACTTCCCAAAGTCCAACAGACCAGCTTCTGAACAGGAGAATAAGGTAACCAAGGGTCTTTGGGGCTGAGAGCAGTGGAGGGTCCCGGTCACTAGGACAAGACAGTGTTCTGGTGGCAGCTGCTCAACTCCCGGGTTCCCTTGGGTATAAATTTCAGTCCGGGCTTCCGCCTCTTCCCCACGTCCACCCGCGACCGACAACTTCCCACCTGACCCCAGCTCTACACAAGTCTCCCAGGTTTAGATGAGAGCCCTGAGACGGCGCGAAGGTGGCAGCCGGGAGGGGCGTGGTCGCGCAGGGGAAAACAAAGGCACCGGACGTGGAGCAGGCCGCCGCCCCCTGACCCGCTCCCTGACAGACGGCCTCGGCCCGTCCAGCGCTCACCCTTCCACGCCGCCATAGAGCGCGGCCATGCTAGCGCTGATACCACAGATCTCTCTGTTGCAACCCCGCTCTCAGTCGGTGGATTCTCTCCTACCGCCGAAAAGCCGCCCCCCACCCCGTCATGTGACCACGGCGCGCATGCGCGGGTGCGGACGGTGCAGCCTCTCTCGCCGTGGCTGGGCCCCTCCCGTCTCTTATCTCCGGTTCTTTTCAGCCCAGTCTTTTCCTGCCCAGTGCTTCCACTCGGAGAGCCGCAACCGAGGAACGTGGGAAAGTGTGCGAAGGAAGGCTGGAATCAACTCACAACCGCGCAGTTAATTATGGGGCGCGCACGCGCAGACGCATGCCGAGCCCTTCTCAGAGTCTGGCGGAAATGCTTGAGGGCCAGGCCGGGAGCCGAGGTTTAGTTCCCGCTGCTCAAACGCAGCCTTGGAACACAGTGCTGGCTCAGGCCTGCTAAAAGCTGGCATTCATAGACCTTATGTCACCTTCTGGCCACCACTTGCTCCCCTATTCTAAAATGTGCAATGGAAGGGAAGGAGAAAGATGCCATCAGGTCTGACAGAAGAGTGGCTCCTGTGTGCTACCTCAGGCTCCTCCAGGTGGCTCTAGGCCTGCTAGGAGCAGCGTCGATAGCCAGGAGGGCTGCCTGCTATCCTTAACATTTCTTTGAGACAGGCTTAGGGCTAGCCTGCCTCCCTCCGTGCCTGCCTCCCGTGAGGGGAAAACAAAATTAACTAGGATCCACTTTCCCTTGTGAGACCCTCAACCCTTATTCTCAAAGGGACGAGAATTTCCTAGCAGAATGTTTTAAAATGAGAAACACAGATTAGCTTCACGTTCCCAGAAAGATAGTGCTTTCCTTCCCCCTCCCCACCGCTCCCCCCACCGGGGAAATTCCAAAGCACAAGGACACTCAGCTCCCTGGTGCTAAAGACAGCGGAGTAACCTTGCTCTGAAAACAAAGAACAAGCTGACATAGTAGGATGGGAAAGAGCAAAAGACCTTGCACCCATGCCAAAGCAGCTCTGAAAGGCTTGCTTATAATTTCACCTTTAAAATTATAAAAAAAACCCGCTAAGGAACCTTTTAACTCCTCTCTACCTCGCTGCAACGGGGTGTTGGATCGTATTGCTGACAATAAAACCTTGCTAATTGCAGTAGGGTCTCTCTGGTTTTTGGTGGTCTCCCTGGGGGTCACAATCTGGGCACAACCCCCTGACAGTTAATTGGCTCTGGTTGTGTTTTGAAGTTAATAGTTGGGAAAAAGGGTGGGCACAAATCTCAAACTCTGGCTGAGGTGACTTTAAACATCTGCTGCTCTTGCTCTCCACCTCCCAAATGCTGAAATGTAAATTGTTGGTGTAGGTATTGTAGGAACCAGCTACGAGAAACAGACCACCCAAAGGAAGTTCTTCCAACCGTTGTCACCTGCCAGGGTTGGGCCTAGCCTGAGGAGCTTAATGAAGACGTGAGTCTCAGTAGTTTACCCTAAGGTAATACCTGGTTGCAGAAAGAACCAGAAACTGAGATTACCCAGGCACCACCCAGGAACAGACCACCCAAAGGAAATACCTCATGTTCATACTGTTGTAGATAGGATCAACTGCCCGAATACATTCACCAGAAAAAACCCTAGACAAATTTCAGCCAATCAGGGCTCCTGAACCTTAGAAATCCTTCACCCCCACCTTTACTACTATAAAAAAAAAACTCAACTCTAATTGAGCTCTGGGCTCTCTGTTTATTCCAATACGTTGGACACATGGAGGGACCGAGTGCAAACTTGTATATAATAAAGACTCTTTGCTTTTACATACCTGACTCAGTCCCCTTGTGGTTTTTCAGGGACTTCACAGATCTGGGCATAATAGGCATGCTTTTTAAGATTAATAAGTGGACTCTGTACTTTACTTCTTACCTATTTGAGTCAGTAAAGCACCAAATAACTCAAGAATAAAAACAATATTACTACCTGATAGAAAAACTAGAGGGAAAATCTTAATGCCCACTTGAGACATTCCATTCACAGAACATCAAAACTGGAAAATATTTCATCCAACGACAATTTTAGAATCACAGCTAGTTGATTTGGATTCAAACTGAACAGAGTCTTTGCAGAAATGTGAAGTAGGTGGACTTTTAAGGAAAATTTCCGTTTTTGTACTAGTGTAATAAATGTTGGGACCTATTCTGACAACTCTCAAGTGTGCTTTTGTATTATTGTTTGGGTTTTTGCTCGTTTTCAATTTCACTTTATTTAAATAACTTTTCACTTATTTTACATACTGACCACAGTTTTTCCTCCCTCCTCACCACCTTATCCACTTACCCCCCTTCCACCTCTCCTCCATCTCCATTCTAAAAGAGCAGGGCTTCTGTGAGTTTGAACAAAGCCTGGCACAGCAAGCTGAGGCAGGACCAAGCTCCTCCCTGTTGTGTCATATTTTGATTGTTTCTGACAAATAAAGCTAGCTCGGAGTCAGAGGGCAAAGCCAGCCACTATTTGAGTAAAATTAACCATAGAGGTTTGGAGGACTGTAGACGGAGAGGAGACAGGAAATAGTAAGGTGGGACTGAGAGAGAATCTTGGCCTTTTTGGATAGAGGAACAGTAGGGGTAGGACTGGTTGCTGCTTCCTGCTTCTCTGATATTTTCGTTTTTACTCCAGTATTTGAATCCAGATTTATTTATTTATTTATTCTTGGGTTTTTGGTTTGTTGAGACACTGTTTCTCTGTATAACAGTCCTAGCTGTCATGGAACTAGACCAGGCTGGCCTTGAACTCATAGACACAGAAATCCACTTGCCTCTGCCTCCCAAGTGCTGGGATTAGAGGCGTGTGCCACCACTGCCTGGCTGACTCCTGATTTTTTTATTGTTAAACATTAGTTAGATAAACGCTTCATCTGACATCCAAGCTTTGGGGCACGAATTCACAAGCTAGCCGCTTGCCCATGGCTTTGCAGCTGCCCACCCCACACAGGAGCGACACGCACATCCAACTGGCTTTTCATTTTCTTCCCCAAGCCTTCTGAGAGAGTCTGTGATATTTTCTGTTTCAACGTCTCTACAGCAATCTCTACAAGCCCCAAACTCCACAGATGCCTGGGCTCCAAATACTGCTGGAGTTAGCCCCACGCCAACAGTGAGCTCGGCCTTTGGGCCATTCTGTGCTTCCACTTCCAGCCTGCCACAGGTGCTGCTTTCCCGCATTCCCCTGCGTCTTTGAGATGGTTGTCTCGTGGGTTGTGGGCTCTTTCTGGACCCCCTCCTCAGGCTGCCAGCAAATGGTCAGTGGCAGCTGTCTTCAGCCAGGCTGTGCCCTGTCTGTGTTCTCCACCCAGACATACTACATAGTAACAGCCAGCTTTACACTTCACCACCAGCAGCAGATTTGGGGAGACAACTTGTAATTCTTAAAAGGGGGAAATAGGTTATTCTTCTAAAGAGAGAGAGAGAGAGAGAGAGAGAGAGAGAGAGAGAGAGAAATTTTTTTTCTCATGTTAAAAATGGGAAACACTATTATGGTGGCAGGAGTTAGATCTCTCTATGATTTCACAATTGATAACTTAAAAGTGGAACAATTAAATGAGGGAATAATTAACTTAGCTGGGATTCACATAAAGTTAATTATAATCATTATCAGTTTGGTAATTCTTGTTTTATCCCTAAAAAAACTTGATTGACATTAGTGCCAAGATACAGGCATTAGAAAAAGTTACTGAAGAAAATAATGCAATTTTGACTGATAAGTTATGAACCTTAGAAAAACTTATTAAAACAAATAATAGAAGTATTCAGACAAAGATAAAGGAATTTAAAGGAGAGCTAACTTCACCATTATAAAATCTGAGAGGGGCAGCCCAAGGTTGTTAGAAAACCAATCTTGTGGAGAAGTAAAATGTAATTGTATATAAATATTAAATTTGAGATTTAAGGAAGACATTTCATATGGTATGCATTCACCCTTAGTGAAATGGGTATAAAACAAATTAGCAACTCAGAACAGAATTGCTCCTCAAGACTGGAAAGATTTGACATCAGTAACATTGGAAGCTGGTCCTCACTTACAATAATCTAAAGCTATAAAAGAACAAAATAAGGCTAGAGGTATTAATATTCCTTAAGATTAATTGCTAGGTGAAGACCAGTATGCTGGATTGTAAAGTCAATTTGAATTTGATGACCACACCTTGGTGCTATGTCAGTTAGCTACCTTAAATGCTTGGGACAAGGTTAAAGAGCCAGAAAAAGAGTTCTGAATCATATACTAAAATTATGTAAAGTCCAAAAGAAACCATCACTGATTATTCTTGCAAAAATTTACCCCAGCTATAAATAGAATAGCATTAGATCCAGAAGTCAGACAAATATTAATCGATTCTTTGACTTTTAAAAATGGTAATTCTGAATGCAAAAAGGTGATTGGACCTCTAAAGCAAGATCAGCAGCAATGGATGAATGGATTAGAAACACAGATAATATTGAATTTCATACTTGTGATCCAACTTTAATAAGAGAAGTAATCTCTAAAGTTTTTAAGAGAAGACAAACTGTCAGATGACTATGGCAAGCAAGGTCATCTCAATAGGAATAGTAGGCAAGGCATTCCTAGAAACAATGCTTTTTTTTTTTTTTACTATAGATAATTGAAAAAGAAGGTCCCTTGATGTGGGAAGTCCTTCTGTATATGTGTTGTTTTTATTAGTTAATGAATAAAGAAGCCACTTTGACCTGTGATAGGGCAGAATAGAACTAGGTGGGAAAACTAAACTGAATGCTGGGAGAAAGTAAGTAGAGTCAGTGAGATGCGATGTAGCTGCCGGAGGAGATAGATGCTAGAACTTTGCCCAGTAAGCCACAGCCATGTGGAAATACACAGATTACTAGAAATGGGTTAATTTAAGATATAAGAGCTAGCTAGCAATATACTTAAGTGATTGGCCAAGCAGTGATTTAATTAATATAGTTTCTGAGTGTTTGTTTCTTGTCTGGGTGTCCAGGAATGACTAAGCGGTCTCCACCAACAGTCCCTGCTTCCTGGAGTATGCAGAAAGTATGGCAAAGACTGACATTGGACTAATAAGTGCAGATGAACAAGAGAAAATGAAACAGTTTTTTACATATTAGAAAATAAAGCATATTACAGGTAAACCACACAAACCTACAGAATAAACAGTTATATAAAGATATAATCGTACTTTAAAAATATGCTTATTAAACAGAAAGGGGTAACAGAGACCCTCAGAGATAGATTGTATGACGCTTTACTAACTTTAAATTTTCTAAATGCTAATGAGAAAGGAACAATAGCTGTGGAGGGACACTGGATAATAGAAAAAACTGCTGAGTTAAATCAGCCTGTATACTATAAAGATGTATTGACCTCAGAATGGAAACCAATACTTGTGTTACATTGGGAAATAGGTTTTGTTTTTGTTTCTACAGGGGAAGAAAAGCTATGGATACCATCAAAATTGATAAAGATTAGATTTTAACAAGAGGGACCTCTTGATTAAAAGAAGAAATAGTTTAGCAAACAGTGTGACCATTCAATCTAAATAAGCAAATGCTTTTCATTTGATCAGATATAATTTACCAAAAGGGAAACTCCCCAAAGTTAGGGTTGGGACAGGGTTTTCCTTTTGTCTTTCAAGGAGAATGAAAGCATTCTGATAAGAAATCTGAAGATCACTAGAAAAATGAGACATCTGTTTTCTACAGACACATAATATAAATGGTCTTTTTGTGGTCTCAGTTCAATTACAAATTAAAGCTGGCTTTGGAGTTGGAACATGGTTATCTCGTTGTCTAAAACCAAGCATGCTTGTTAAAGGAAAATCCAAAATCTCTGTCTCATGTCAGAAGAGCCACCTGATATAGAACAGAAGAAAAACCAAAATTAAGACACTATTCTATTGCCACTAATCTAATAATTCTTTGGTTTTATTTTGACTCTTTAAAACTTTTCTTAAGGTATAAATGTTATCTCAAAATTTAAAAGATTATATAATATATATTAAATTTTTGTCATGATTCTAATGGTCATATAGAGTAATAACTAATTCTAGAAAAAGGCTTTATCTAGCTTCCTGTACATGATTTCAGGTTTGAGTCTTTATCAGGTAACTAGGAGCTAAGTACAAATAACAAATTAAAGCCCTTTAATCTTGTCAAGATCTTCTGCATGTAAATTTTAAATGTTTTTTTTTTCTGCAGTGAACCATGACCATTCCTAACAGTGACCTTTGAAGTCTCCGAAAGGAGGGTGGGACCCCACTGCAATGATTCTACCTGGATTGTGGTAATGTCACTAAGCTGACAAACATCACCCAAAGTTGACTTTGGACTACAAACTGCTCAGGACAATTTCAAGGTGGCGAGCTGAGATGGTCCAGCCTTACCGACTACTCTAGCCAGGATTTGAGTTAAGTCTTGCACTTTCTATTACACAGAGACTGGGCAACAAATGATACAGCTAGCTCTTCCCAAAACTTGACAGTTATTATTGTGGGCCAATAGCCTTGTAACCTATAAAGATTTGTCACTTGTATTGGTTTATTACAACACTGATTGGCCAGTAGCCAGGCAGGAAGTATAGGCAGGGCAACCAGAATATGGAAATTCTGGGAAGAGGAAAGGCTCAGTCTGCAGTTGTCAACTGAATACAGAGGAAGCAAGATGAGAATGCCTTACTGATAAAAAGGTACCAAGTCATGTGGCTAACACAGACAAGAATTAGGGGTTAATTTAAGATGTAATGATGTGAGAAATTCTTCTGTCTCTGTGTTGCTTTTATTGGTTAATGAAGAAAGAAGCTGCATTCTGCCAATGGCTTAACAGAGTAAAGCCAGGCTGAAAGAGATATGTAGAGTAGAGCTAGGCAAGGGGGCGGGGACTAAACTGAGTGCTGGGAGAAAGAAGGCTGAGTCAGAAGAAGCCATGGAGCCGCCAGAGGAGAAAGACACAAGATGCGAACTTGAACCTTGCCAGTAGGCCATGAGCCTCATGGTAAAATTAAAATAATAGAAATGGGTTGATTTAATATGTAAGAGCTCCTTCTCATGTTATGCCATATTATGATTTAGTTCTGCAGTTGCTTTGGACAGCTAGAAAGATGAGTATATAAATCTTTGGCAAATTTCCAGACAAAATTGTACTTCCCTATGATAAAGATCAATTGTTACATTTATAGCAATATAATGATGATTGGACTCTATATTTATTATCAACTGATGCAATGGTTGATAGCCATTATCCCCAACATTCATTGTTAAGTTTCTTTAAAAATCACCCTGTTACTTTTCCACAGATAGTAAAACCTAGGCCCCTGGTGGGAGCTCAACAGTTTTTACAGATGGTTCCCCAAGAGGAAATGCTGTGGTAGTTTCTCAAGGTCTGGTATCCCAAACACCTGTTGACAATGTCACTGCTCAAGCAGCTAAATAACAGCCTGTATTCTAGCATTTTTACAAATGTTTTTTGTGAGTCATATTAGAGGTCATACTCAATTACCTGGACCCCTGGCTAAGGGTAATCAGCTCGCAGATGCATATACCCGAATATTATTTGCCAGTCCCAAAGAAAAGGCTTCTAAACTTCATAAAAAAATCACTTAAATGCTCATTCTTTGTAGCACCATACTGGTTGCTCTAAAGCCACTGCCTTACAAATTACCACCCAATGTTCTGCTTGTACCCTTTTCATAATACACATTGCAGGAGTTAATCCTCGTGGACTTAAACTGAATGACATTTGGCAGATGGATATTACCCACCTATCCTCAGCTGGAAAGCTGAAATACATGCATGTTTTGGTAAATACTTGCTCTGAGGTAGTTTTTGCTTTGCTGCATAGTGGAGAGAAAATGAAGAATATGATAGCTCATTGCCTGCTGGCTTTTGCTTATATGGGCTTACCTAATGTTATTAAAACAGATAATGGTCCTGCATATACTAGTGGAAATTTTCAAACCTTTTGTGTAAATAATGATATTAAACATATTACAGGTATTCCATATAACCCCACTGGACAAGCTATAGTAGAAAGAATGCATATGGTTATAAAACAGTATTTCACAAAAATAAATGGGGGGAATATATGCTCTCTCCCAATACATAATTGGCTTCTATTTTATTTATTCTAAATTTTTTTAACTGTGGAATGTGAGGGCCACTCAGCCATGGAAAGACATTGGAATATGTAGAAGGAGTGATGGGCTGTGTTCCTGTCTGGATCCCAGCTAGCTTACCCCCAAAATAATTACACAGAAACTGTATTCATTTAAATACTATCTGGCCCATTATCTGTAGCATCTTATTGGCTAACTCTCTCATATTGATTCAACCCGTTTCTAATAATCTGTATCTTGCCACGAGGTCGTGGCTTACAGGGAAGATTCTAACCCACATCCATCTCAGAGAGGAGAGCCATGGCGTCTGCCTTATTGACTTCTTTCTGCCAGCATCCTGTTCTGTCTACTCCGCCTATCTAAGCTGCTGTCCTATCAAAAGCCAAGGCAGTTTCTTTATTAACCAATGAAAGTAACACATAGACAGATGACCCTCCTCCATCAGGAATAAAAGTTCTCAGTCCTTGGGATGGGTACAATGGAAAGACCTTATTACAGGACAGTGGAAGGAGCCCACGCCCCCGTTGCCTAGGGTGAGAGGAGCTGTTTGTGTTTTTCCTCCAGGAACAGACAAGCCCATTTGGGTACTAGAGCAATATGTTCGAGCTGTGGAGAATGATGGGAAAGGATCCTGTGATGAGCCTGAGAATGATGTGTCATTCTCTTGATGAGCCTCCTGGTGAGTCCCAATTAAGTGGAAAGCACTGTGTGAAGCCTGGTAAGAAATCCCCCTGTATTGATGCCAGTGAGTCGAGCCAGCCCCTTATATCCATCTTCTTATTCCACAAACTATACTATTGGAACTGCTTTAAGCAATATGGCAATAAAGCAGGCTTCTATTAATCAAACATTTTCCCTTGTGAACATTTTATGCTTTGTTACATCTTTGGACTATGAATATTACTTTAAGGAATCCTACACAAGCGAGTGTAGTCCCCACATTTTTTTTGTAGTGAGTGGCTGTGGGCAGGCCTGCTTTTCACCTCACCCGGCTCCTGCACGGCTAGCTTAGCCCCGGAAATAACAACACACAAATTGTATTCATTTAAACACTGCCTGGCCCATTATCTGTAGAGAGTCAGTTACTGGCTAACTCTCACATCTTGATTAACCCATTTCTAATAATCTGTGTAGCACCACGAGGTGGTGGCTTACCGGGAAAGATTCAGCATGTTTGACCTGGTGGCTGGCTCCATGGCGTCTGCCTCGTAGCCCTCTTCCCAGCATTCTGTTCTGTTTACTCCGCCTACCTAATTTTCTGTCCTATCAAGGGGCCAAGGCAGTCTCTTTATTGACCAATGAAAATAACACAATAGACAGATAACCCTCCTCCATCATTTTTTGAAATGTTTCTCTGCAGACCCAGGCACTATTAAATCCCATGTTTATGTTTTAGTTCTTTCTTTCTTTTTCTTTTCTTTTTGTAGTATGGAATAGCACCTTTGAGGGAAAAGATATTCCTGGTTGTTCTTTCAGAAACTGTGGCCTGAGAGACTGCTGGGATGACCATTCCAGTGCTGCCTTGTTGGTTCGGGTACCAGCCATCATACCACTGCCAGTTACCAAAAAGACTATGCAGCCTGAGATGACCCTGCTTTGAGAGAAACGAGATTTTGGAGCGACAGCTGCAGTGGTTGCTGTCATTGTGGTGTCTGCTGCCATGGTCGCAGGACCGGCAATAGCACAAACATCGTTGGTGTCGGACACCATGGCTAAACTGGCAAGACAAGTCAGTGCTGCTCTCCAGACTCAGAATGCCCTGAGTATCCACATTAAATTTGGACTTTTGAATTTAAATCAAAAAACTGCCCTATTGTAGAAGCAGGTGACTTCTTATGGCTTGTACAACAAATATCTTGTTTACACTTTTATCATTCCATTTGTGTGACACATGTTAATATTGCTAATGCCTCTTATGTGGTAAAACAGATCAGTGGTTACTTGAATAGCCCTTAGAATGTTACAACACCAGATTGTCGCTACCTGTGTGTCCCCTGTTTTAGCCAAAGGGTTGGTGGAATACCATAGCCCAACTGGGAGGCTGGGTTCAGCAGTGATTGGGGACCCTCTTTCTGGCAATCTTAAGGCCTGTTGCCATGGGCATTTGTCTCTGAATTGTGTGTAAGATCAGACAATCCATGAGAATGCAGCATATGGTCACTTAGCAAGTCCTTCTGAGCCTGTTGGACAGTAACTTGGATGTTCCCCAGGTTTGGTTGCAAATACTGCACCAACAATGAAGACTCCTCCATAGACGGGCAACTTCTACAGAAGAGGGCCCACCTAAGACAGGGAAGGGGCCTCCCAAAGACGGGTAAGGGTTTACTCTTCTGAGATGACCTAAGACAGAAGAGTCTTCTGTCTTATAAAAAATTTAGGGGGGAGATGTTGGAACCGTTTGGAGTCCTGGCCTCCAGCTGTGGTGTGTGAGAATTGTCTGTAATCTGTCAATCATGTTTTAAATAAATGCTGATTGGCCAGGCAGGAAGAATAGGCGGGAAAACCAGACAGGAAGTAGAGGTGATGCAATGAGAACAGGAGAATTCTGGGAAGCAGGAAGCTCCCTCCACCACTCCTGTCCAGACCACTGAAGAAGCAATATGTGAGCTGACAGCTGGAAAAGGTACTGAGCCACATAGCTAACACAGATAAGAATTATGGGTTACCATAAGATGTAAGAATTAGTTAATAAGAAGACTGAGCTAATGGGTCAATCAGTTTATAATCTTATGGAGTCCTGTGTGTGATTTTCTTTGGGGCTTGCCGGCTGTGGGGTACTGGGTGGGACAGATACCCCAACAAACCAGCCCTCATGTTACACAGCTGCTCTCCCCTGCTAGTGACCTTTACTTGGCCTTCTGATTTGAGCTACTGAAAGCTGTGTTCAGCTATGTTTCCTGTGCACGTGTTGCCTTGTCCTTGACTGAGGATCAGGAGATGAGGTTTTCACCTGTTGGCCCACCTGGCTGTGTTGGGTATATAAGCCTCTGTGGTACTATTTGTTAAAGGGCTTCTTTTCTAGTGACTAGAGGTGTGTGTCTCTGTCTGTGCTGTCTCTGAGTGTCTTTGTGTGTTTCAATCTCCAGCCCCTTGCGCAAGGCTCACGAATGGTCCTGTAGTGCAGGTACTATAATACAGGAGTAGTGCCATACTGCCACGTAGTACAGGTGGGTGCTACAACACACGTAGCTAATGTTCATGATTTACATTATGTTCCAATAGCTGCTTGGGGTCTTGTCTTCTGTCCATCCTGACTGAATTATTTCAAGGTCACTGAGTTACCTAATTTTATGAAACATGGACTAGCCATATTAACTTAAAACAGTACACTGAATAAAAGCTTGATAAGAATGCTGTCCATTGCACATAATTTTTATAGTTTTGCTTTGTTTTTGTTGGTGGTACTGGGGTTTGAACCTAGAGTTTTACCTATGCTAGGCAACAGCTGTGCCGCTAAGCTACATCCCTAGCCT